TATTGAAGATGATTAATCAGTATTTATGAAGTGGGTATAGTTGTAAATCTGAGGTTTATTTTATTTATTTAAATTTTTGTCAAACTAGAATACATGTGAAAAATAGAAAACTCACAATTACATTTGCTACCCTCATTACAGCATGGGAAGTCTGAAACTTTCTGAAACCTTGTACATATTTCCCACCATTAAAAAGCCTTGTGTCTCAGGCAAAGTGAAGCGGGTAGGGAGAGGTAATGTTGTAGGGACTAGTGTAGGGAGAGGTAATGTTGTAGGTACTAAATACAAGTTTCACATTTTGCTCTTAATTGGGAAGCAAATTTGGACTTGATTATGCTTCTGGGTAAGCTTCTCCTGCTTCCCACCACCCTGTAAATGCTGTATTCCAGCACCCAGTCCAGTATCCAGTGAATTAAAGGCTTTGAATAAACAGGTTTTTCCTGAAAGGATGTTGGTGTATGCTGCCCTGATCATCTTTTATAGGTTCACCAGGGAACAATAAGAAAAAGCTGGAAAAGTGACGCATAACATAGGAGTTTTTTGTGAGGGAGCACTTCTGGTTTAGTCAAATTTGAACATTTTTTTTTTTTTTCCTTTTTAAGTGTTAGGAACTACAGACCTTTATAAAAATTTCCAGTAACATGTCTGATTCTATTTTAGCCACATATTAAGTTTTTAATGTATCTTCTAGACATTATTTTCCACAATATCTTGTGTTCTCAGTCTTTGTACTGGACTGCTAAGTATGCGACTTTCAAAGCAAAATGCTTAATAGGAATACTCCTTTTAATCTTAGGAAAATACAAACATAATTCAAATAGCTTCTAACAAAAGCTCTCTTTAAAAAGAAACCCTGAGGTCAAAAACACACAGGAGGGCCAAAGCCAAAGTATTAACGTCAGTAGTAAGTTTATAAAACAAGAACAGTGTTAACTTCCACAGTACTTAGCTTCTGCATGTCATACCACATTAGAGTGCTTCTAATTCCACAGATCAGAAGCTGTGGGGAACAGCATACAAAACACTAATTACTACACAGCTGATGCAGTTATAGAAAAATGGGTGAACAGACATTTAAAAATCCAACTTCAAGTATTTATTCTCTTTTAAAATGATAGCTTGAAATTTCTTGGAATAATTGCTGTTGCTAGAATAAAAATAAAATTCTGCAAAACAAGTAGCCTCATTTTATGCAACCAGCCATCATGATTTATGAAAAGATCCCTCAAAAACAAAGAACAAATATTAAAATAAAGAGGCATGGTAAAGAAATTTATTTGCAAAGTTCTTTCAAGAGGAAAGACTGGCAAATGCATTGAAGAGGTTATTTTTTAATTTCAGATCCCCATGAATTTGTTTAACGCACTTATTAAATCAACCCATTTCTATGGGCAAACAAATCATGACGTATAGCTGAGAATTCAAACACATTCTGTAATCACGTATGTGTTTTCTCAAACATTCCATATCTGCCTGGGGGAAAAGAAAGTCTCTCTGGCGCAGACCCTTGATGGATTTGGAAAGGGTTATATACCTGGAAACTAGCCACTCTAGAAGAAAGGAAAAAACATTTTGAACAAGTGGATATAATGAACTGCTCTCATGTACAAAATTCTTTGAAATGGGCAGTTATTTTCAAGTCTGATTCCAGGAAGAAACACAAATTATTTTAAAGCACTTTTACAGAAAGCTGAACACTATTGCTTAACTTGCTTGTGCCTTCAAAGACCAATTTAAAAAACATCGTCACACATTTGAAGATGAGATCTGGAAACCTGGAAATGCCTATCAAAGCAAGATTTACGCATTGCATAACAGGCAGGATGTTCCACTCTCATAAGGAAGTGCAAGTACACAGCAAAAGGAAAGCCAAAACAATCTTGAGGGCAATGCTGCAGTAAAATGCAATTTCTGAGCACTTAGTTTGTCTGTGCTGCTGGGAGAGAAGTAGAAAGAATTATTTTTTAAAAAAATCAGTAACTTTCTAAGATGCAATAGGCAGAGTCAAAGCATTTTCATTTATTAATTCTCAGGGAAGTATGTTATAGCCAAAAGACTTTTTTTTTTTTTTTAAATTCAGGAACCATTTTTTCATTTGGAGACCATTTCCTTTTCAAATGAACGCACAAAGAACAATGGCTTTTCTCTTTTCAAAAGATCCTTGAAGGGGGAAGCCTGCCCAGTGGCTCAAGCACAATATCAAAACTTAATTTCATTAACAGAACTAGTAACAGGTCTTCGACCTTGCTTCCAGTTCCATCTCTGCAACAAGAGGTTCCTACAGACATGCTACTTCTGAAATGTCGTAAGACAGAATTCCAAATGAAAAACACAACAAAAAGCACAATGTTTTGCATGCAGCTCTCAGTACCAAGCAAGCAATAATCAAATTGCAAGATTATCAAACGGATCACAACAGTATTTTCTTTTTATCTGTGCCACTCGGAATGCCCACTTAATCACAAGCGTCTAAGGCAGAAATATTTGAAGTGAGCAGCAGTTCACATTAGTGGCTTATAGGAACATTATGCAATGTTGTCCTCTCTGAAGAGGAAACAAGCAATTACACTTGGTTACCCTAAGATTTTCATCAAAACACAGACTTCTGTGTTTCACCAAGCTTTGGAGAAGAGACAACCATTGAGAAAAAAAAAAAAAGTGACTCCCAAATATTTGCAATTGTCGATTTACATCTTGCCTTCTAAAGAAACTAATTTTGACTAGATTGCAGCCACACTTGTTAATGATTTAACTAGCAAAACATAAATATTAAATGAAAGGGATAGTTGTATCAAATTACTCCATTATGTTACTGCAGCAAAGACAGCTTTCAGTTATTTCCTAAACAGGAATCTAAGAAGATTCCAGTAACAAAATAGCCCTGTCCAGTACATGATTACATCATCAAGGATACTTCACATCTATATGCATGAACACAAATATACAATAAGCAAAACTCCTTATTTCTGCTTTGAGTAAGGCATACAATCAGTATAATCCAGAAAAAAAATAAAAATAAATCAAAGGTCAATTTTTTTACATCGTTTGTTTCAAGTGATTCAAAAATTCAGTATGCTTTCAACACGCAAATGACTAAGTGACCAAAGGAGCTAAAGATTTTATACAAAAAAAAAAGTTATAAAAAACAGTTGTCCAAGATGGCTTCAAAATTAATCAGCATCTTTCTAGGTCTGCAGTGCTGAAGTCGTGTTTTGCTGCCCTGCCCTTTTCTTCACAGAAGTGATAGTAACAGACTGGAAAGCACCAACACTTTCCTTTTCTTGGCATGAAGTGTCAGACTTGGTCTTGACATGTACAGCTTCATCTTAGTGTTTATGTAAACAGATACCAACATGCTACACAAAAATTATTTCTTTACCATGATCAAAATATGTGTGTCTGATATTTCATATTTGGAACATAACCCAGAAGTCAAGGTTGACTTTGCCAGTTTCCTGAAATTTCCTTGATGTCAAACCAAGTATATTTCTATTACTGCATATATATTTGGGCCTTATACACAGCAGCAAGGACACACTTGATCTCATTCTGTCACTCTGAACATCAGCTATGTGTCAGGGTACAGAATGAATTAAAACTGTGAGCCAACTCTCACTGCAGTGACGCTGGAAAAGGACTGACTCCAGCTGTGTCCCTTTTTCAAATGGTTTCAGTGTATAAATTTGGTATGCTGGACACAGGTTCATTATATGAATTACAAATCCTGACATTAAAATCAATTCTTAATATGCATTCTAAATTTACAAGGGCTCTACCTAATACTGAACCAGATAGCAGCTCTGCAGTAGAAAAAGGTCTCTAATGGAAAGTTATTGCCAGCAGCTGCTCTGTTGTCAGAAGGCTGCATAGGCAGGCCCTGCAAACCAAACAGAAACTGAACAGTTTACGAAGAACTGCGCTGTTCCCACATCTGAATCCACAAAGTCATTATTAAATATATTTATATTTCTTTAGGGTGGTTTATAACATGAGACATATTGCACTGTTTTTATCTACAGATCTTTCATATTATTGTAAAGTAGGTCACCCTGGTTCTTACAGCATGGCTAGAAATACTGCAATCATTTTGAAATTTTTACTTTTACCCTCGTTTGAAGATCTTGGAAAAGTAACCCACTAAATGTAAAAGAACTCTTGGGTTTTTGGATTCACCCTAAAGGAGTTTACAAAAGGCACACACACACAAAAACTAGGTTTAAATAGTGATCGGATGAAGAGTACTTCAGTTTCAATTTTTACTGCAAATTAGGTTCAATATTATACAGTTCAGATCGATAAAAAGTCAGCCTAGAAGGAGAAGTTGAACTGCCAGATAACCTGCCTCCTGTCAGGATAAGGCCATATTGAAATACAGGAGACCACCAACTGAAACTCATCCAGATCTATTTTTGGTGATGATTTAATGGCCTGTAACCAAAATTTGCTGCCATTACTGAGGAAAGCAAATTGTGTTGATTACCATCATATAAAAAATTCAAAGTTTCCAAATAAAGCTACAAAAATTATGTTGCACTACAAGTCCATATGATATTGTTAAACAAAATACAATCACACTTAATACTTTTCCTCAGATGTAGTACATTCTCAGATACTTTAGAAGGCCTCAGATCTTTCGTACTTCATCAGGCTTTTTTCCCTACTCCTTTCTGTAGATTGCTACTTGCAATCTAAAACTAAATTTGTTCATCGGCTATTTCTGAATGTATGTAAGTATTAAGCTGAAGGGAACTGGTTGATGCAGATGTCTGGTGGGTAACTGATATTTATATGATAATCACTATTAAAAAAAAACCACCGTGATTCACAGTCTGGAGCATAATTCACACTATGACATTTTAAGTTAGCCACGTATTTTTTTCAGTTGCAAGCACAGAAGTCATACAATCAAGACTGTACTGTTCAAACCCCCGATGCTTTCTAGGGCATTTTAATGCACTTGCATGTTATTTTTCTTATGGATATAACAACAGTATGCTCACCTGAAAAGGAAAAATGTTGTCAGCTCTATTCAAACTGTCTTCCATCCATGATTTCGGAGCAAAGGCTGAGCTGGGTCGAGCATATTTCTGCAACTGGATATGATTACTTGCAAAATTCTTCTTTAAGGGCGAGATGGAGTTCAGGGGTGTTATCCCTCCGTTCAGTCCCCTGCGGTGGTCTCGACCTTGGGACCCACCCCACCCACCATATCCACCGCCACCAGGGCTCCATGAAGATGGTGTAGGCGATGGACTTTGGTAGCTGCTCCATGGAGAAGGTGGCTTGTTAAGATTATTAGCCAAATGAGGCAATTGATTAAAAGCAGCATTTCTATGTGTGAATGGAGGTGGGTGAGGACTTGCAGGAGACCTCCTCTGTTGCTGATGCTGATTGTGATGATGCTGAAAATGAGGGTGATGAGGGTGGTGTTGAGAGAGGGGTCCAATTTGGGGGGAAAAGCTACCACCAAAGCCAGGGCTGACGTGATGTGGAAAATTCTGAAACAGCAGAGCACCATTATTAGCTGAGGCAGTAGGGACCCCTCCCTGATGAAAGAAACTTGCATCTTCATTGATTATTGTAGAAGAAGAAGGAGCTATAGCTGCAGACCAGTTACTAAAACCAGTCAGAGAAGATGCAGTGGATGTCAAGGGCTGTGTCGAAGTACCTAGCCCCGAAGCCTCTTGATAATCAAATCCTGTTAACACCGGCGATTCTATTCTTATTTTCTCCTTTCCGTTGCCGTTCTCTGAAGAATTATCGCCCTGATTTTCTTCAGTTTTAGCTTTGTCAGGTTCAGAGAGCATGCCTGCTTCCTGACTTTGACTAGGGGAAAGCTGCTGTTTTTCTAGGGACTCTTGCTTTTCCTGTTGCTGAGTTTTAGATTTTTCTGACCCCAGAATCTCATCCTGAATATTATGGGCAGCTGGAGCAGGAAAGAGCCAAGCTGACCCAGCACTACTGCCATTGGCAGCTGTGTTATTATTTATAAAAGCAGCAGGGCTGGGGGTTGCATTTTGATGATGGTGTGGAGGCTGCAGATGTGGATGAAATCTGACTGGAAAAGCTGACTTATTTCCAGTGTTGTTTTGCACTAACACTCCAAACCCGTAATCCCCCATTTATTATATTTAGGGCTTGAATCCTCCCTGTAAGAACAAGTTGATGTTTAGTGTTTACCTCGTCCTCCTCTGAGGCGAGATTAGCAAGTATCCTGGTTTTAGCTAGATATTCCAGTTTCTCCCTCCACGCTATTTATTTCAGATTTGGATAAAGATGTTTGTTTTTTTGCAAAAGATAGATCTCTTCAGCTATTTAAATGTGTCAATTTGTGTCCGTTTCCTTCCTTTGGCCAGGAGGAAGGGAAAAATAAATCTTTGGTTCACAAAATAAGAGGTTTCCTTTTTTTAAAGGAAATGCACAGCAATGAGAGAAAAAGCTTCTGGGGAATAAGGATAAAGGGATTCTAACTATCCTGTTTTTTTCCTCCTCAGCAGCCTTGACTCTCCCATAAATGAGTTAAGAGGGAAGAAAAAAGAAAAAAAAAAATATACAATGACGTCTGGTCCCCCAACCCCTTGGCAGCAAAAAATAGATTTAAATCTGGAATAATTTAATACATCTCTATAATCTAATATATATTTGTGTCCTCTTCAAAAAGAGTCTTTGCTGTGGGTAAGGGAAAAAATTTACCTCAGGATCTCAGCATTCAGAAGGGTGAAAAGGGAGAGTGGGTTACAGAAGAGGCTTTTTTTCCCCCGTGCTGCTGGGTTTAACCTATTATATTTAGTAATAATATACACTCTGTGTGTGTGTATGCGTGTGTGTGGTTGTTTAAAGGGGTAAGATCTTATCTCAGGAAATTAGTATTCTATGTGTGTTGGGTGGGGAGTGAGTTGTGCAGGAGAAGGGTGGATTCTTGATGCTGCTCCTTTTGGGCTGGGTTTCTGAGCTCGCCAGACTCGCTTCTTATTTATGATCCAATATTTGCGTGTCCTTCATATGAGTCCTGGCTGTCCGAAGAGGAAGATTTTCATCTCAGAAATCAGCATTCAGCGTTCGGGAAAAGGGAAGGGAGGGGACAGCGAGTTGTGCAGGAGGAAGGGGAAGGAGATTTTCTTGCTCTCGCTGCTGCTGGGAGGATGTTTTCTGGTGCGGGGCTCGCCTCCTTCCACCGAGAGACGCGGGTTCCCTGCAGAGGAGCGAGCCCCGGGC